TATATATATATATACACACTGTTTCCCAGTACTGGTCTAGCCAAGCACTATTTGTTCTAATTGTTTTGAATTGCAGCAGATTTCCCATACCTTAGATAATAGTAACAGTCATTTGTCATCAACACTCCTGCATTTTCAGATGTCCAAGAATACCTCTGTTTTTCTTCAGTTCTTTAGTACCACCATTTGGATGAAACCTTGTCAGTTCAGTTAACATCTGGTGTGTACATAAGTCAGTACTGTAGGCATATCATACACTGAAGTAGTACATAAAATAATGCTGACTTACCTAGCAAAACTAAGCAAGCTGGGAGACCCAGGTTCAATTTACTTAAATTTTTCCCTTGGCTAGCAATGTTGTCATAAAGACTACAACTCTAAATTTTAGAGTTTATCAGAAACGCTCTTTCCTCATGTTAATAATCCAGCAGAATTGGAAGGAATCCCATTGGTCCACCTTGGCAGAAATAGCAATAATAGTTTCAATTAGGGGAGACTGAGGTCCTTAATGGATGAGCACATGTGTTTGCGGTGTGAGGGGAGGTGGGAATGGAGGGCAATAAACTTCAAATCTTGGACCTAAGAACCTTCCGAGAAAGTAATTGAAGTAGAAATTAATTAGTTGATTTCAATGAAAAAACCCTCTTTTGATTTGATTTTTGGTTCCCAAATCTACATGACCTTTAATTCTTCTTCTCTCTTGTGAATCCAGGCCAAATACAGAATGAGGTATGGGTTCTCTGGAAGAAAAAAATGTGACCTGTAGATAACAACTATACCATAATGCACAGGGGAGCTAAAATAAGCTTCGTGTGCATGAATTTGTTTTGATTACAAGTGTAAAGTTGGGGGAGAAGGGGAGAGAGGGGGGACACAACATGAAGTCTGATGGAGGCATACAGGGGCAGGTATATGATACAGCCATTTTAAACTCTGTGCATAACTAACTTTCAAAATTAGCTGTACTTAAAATATATAGAAGCTAAGAAACAATATTGTATGTCCAGGTTTGTCTGCAATGATTGAAAAACCCCTGGGATTGTGCAGTTGTCTGTGGATGATTTCATGTAATATCCTCATAATTGAATGACGTTTCACAATCCCAACACTATTTTCAGTACCTGTGAACATCCTGGTGACTGAGGTTTTGATGATGTTTCCTGGTCCAGAGGTCAGCAACATAATAGCTTATTTATGGCAAGGCAGTCAAGTTGCATCCTGTGGTAACACCCAGTCAAGTTGCTGCATTCCTTTAAAGCATAAATCACAACTTTGAGCTGTGCAGAAAAATAACATTTGTGTTTTGTGGAAAAATTGAGGGTTTGGCTTTTTAAGTCCCTAGTGAAGAGTAAAATGGAAGGAGAAGCCCTTTGTTATCTTTTAAGTAAACCATGTAATTTCTCAGACTGCCACAGACCCCATCATACATGTGGCCCAGTGATTTGGGCTACCACCTGGGACATGGGAGACCCAATGCAAGCTCCTACATAGCTTCACCTGATTCAGAATAGGGGTTTCAGTCTGGTTCTCCCCATCCCACTAGGCCAAGCCTACTAGGCTACTATCTATTCTGGGATATTTCTCTTATGTATGTTCTGACCAAGTGTTTTGAGATACTTGAGAACCATCAAAGTGTATGTGCTTGGAACAGCATTTTGAAAGAATGTGATTTTTTTTTTTTTTTTTTTTTTTCATTAATCCACCCTTGCCGCAATCTTTTGAAGTTCACTACTGAGTTACCTCCCTATTACATGTTATGCCAAGGGCAGAATGAACACGTACCTGGAAATTGGTAGATTGTTTTGTTATCACAAGTCACTAAAAGGACCCAAACTATTTGCCCCGTGTTTCTTAAAAAGGTGTCTTTTATGTAGTTATACAAATGTGGGATTTTTAGGGTCTTTAAAGAGAAACTTGGCGATTGTAGTTAGTGTTTTGGGGGGGTGTTTTTGCTGAGAAGGGGTTAAGTGAATCGGTGAGAAGGAAAAAAAAGTGTTAAGTCTATGAAGTGTCCTACCTTTAATTAGCACTCATTTTCTTTCTGAACCAGAGACATTTTAATAGTATGTGCCATTTTAAACATTCATAATTTAGTCCTATTTTAATCAATTAAGCTAATGACACTTTCTCATCTGCACAGTTTGTCTTTTCTCATTTTGTTTCTCAGTGTTTTACCCATCCAAGCATTCTGCCTAGCTCAGGGGTTCCCAGTCTGTGGTATGTATACCACCAATGCTCTGCAACTTGTCAGCGGTACACATTAACAGATTTATTATAATTACTTTATGACAAAAATTTGCTGGTGGTACTTAAGGTTGTATCATTTTAAATTGGTGGTGTGCAGTCTGTCAGAGTTTGGGAACTGCTGCCCTAGCTCATTTAAGGGCTCATGCCAAGCCCATTGTAGCCAGTGGAAAGGCTCCTAATATTTTTCCAGGTTCTGAATTGGGCTTTAAGCCTTGGCAGGCAGTGGGAAATCCAAATTTTGAGTAAGGCAAGGAGAGGGGGGGAAGAAGAAAACCCAAAAAGTGTGGGGTTTTCTGTATTTGTGTTGGTTTTAGAAAGTAAGCACAATTTAACAAGTTCCATCCATGGGGTTTGGGGGGGGGATTTATTTATTTATTTTTGCACTATCATAACAAGATTGCCGGGAGGCCATAACTTCCCTCCTGCTCTTGTTTTATAAAAGGACCTTACAGCAACCTTTCTATGGAGGAAAAACAGTTGTCAGTCAGTGTATAGGCAAGGTTTAGCTAGTTCCTCATGATCTGCTATAGTAATTTTCCCAGTACTTTGCACTCTAAAACAATATGTATTCCACTACGTCTGAATACACTGAAAAGCAATAGTGGCATCTTGCCAGAAAGCAGTGGGGTACTGGCAAATAGATAAACAGAATGCTATTAATCCAGCAACTGCTTATGTAAAAGTCTGGTATTTTTCTTGTGCTGGTAAATGCAACTCTGTTCTCTCAAGAGCATGAAACAAATGTATTTTTTTTCCTAAGGCATTTTATAAAAGTGTACCTTCTTTCCCTCCCCACCCCCCACCTCTTCCGCCCCAGAATTGATCTTGCATTTATATGTTTGTGTGTGTTTAAATAATTTTGTATTTGTCTCCAATGAGTAGAATACCCACTGCTGTGGGATTTCTCAGTGCTAACAAGAAGTGGTCTGTTGCTGAAATAGAAGCCTTGTACACACCAATTTATGAATCGGTTTGAATTTATGACCTTATTTAAATTTTTTTTTTCTTACTCCTGGCCTGATTCTGCAAGGTGTTGAAGTGTTTTCTACAAGGTTCAGTGCTCCTTCAACTCCACTTGCCATCAATGAGATTTAAAAGCACTTGCCCAACTGGGACCTGTTTTAATGCTTGGAGAATAATGTATGTGCCACTGCAGACCCTGCTTTTTGGCTGAGAAGTCTGCAAGTAAACCCTTGCCTTGCTTGGATCTCAGTACAGGATTGGGGCCTTAAGCTGTATATTTAACCCAAAGGATATTTCCACACCTGATCCAGAGTGGGAAGGAAATGTATGCAGCGGGGAGGGGGCGGAGGGGTTGCATGAGTCTTAGCTCACCCTGGAGACTCAAAGATCTGGCAGTGGTGGCAGCAACTGCTGTGGCGTAGGGTTACAGTACCTTGAGTAGGACAGCCAACCACATAGGGACTCAGGGCAGCTGTGGTGGGCTTGGGCTCTTGCTGTAGCACAGATTTCCCACACACCAGCTGTACAAATGCTTGTGGAATAAGCTCCCTGGGGGGCACCATTCTAGTGCCCCTCTAAATCTGCGCTTGGGCCTGGTGCCCTCCTTGCCCACCCATAGATACACTACTGAGCCCTGTAATGAAAGCTATAGGAAGAAATCAAGGAAGATTTTGTTTTTAACCAAATATTAAAGATTGTGTGTGTTCAGACTGCTTCTAATGAGGCTTTACTCCAAACATTTGTGCAAGAATGAATGCTTTGGAGTTCATGGAGAAATTCAGATGTTCAATTTGTGTCCCCACTAAGAAGAGGTATCTAGCTATTTTCAATGGGTCTTTGTCTGTCTCTGTGCATGTATAAGGGGATGGTTACTTTTATTTCATTCTCTTCCTTTTCAAATACAGTAAAATCTATTTAATTTGTCACTCCAAGGGGTTATGTAATAATGAATAACCATCTGTGAGCGACCATTAATCAGTAGTCTTTTCATTGGTTGTGAGATGAATTAGTCATTCATGAAAGATTTGTCATCATTATTTCACTATATTTTGGTTGGCATATTTTAAATACAGAAAGAATGACTGTTGACATTTAATATAAAGGGAAACAATACGATCTATTGTGAGCAGGCAGATAAATTCAGAGTGCTCGCTATATAAGAATCATATGATTACAGAAGAGTCAAATAATGAAAGATTTCTGCTTTTCACTCCTATCTGTACTCACTGCAAAAATAAAGGGTAGGTCAGCCAAATGGAACAGTTGATTGTCTGTCTTGCAGAGTCAAAAAGAGTTGAGGAGTGTCTAATACTTTCTGAGCATCAGGTAACTTGACATTTGCCATGAGAGACATCTGGCTCTCTTCATCAGTCATCACTAACTTCACTGTCATGGTTGCTATAATTTCTTTTGCTTTGCATTGCTGCAACCATATCCTTATCGGATTATTGTTCTGTCACTCAGATGCATTAAAAAAATTAAGATTATCTGGCGTAAGATTTGAAGGCCAGATGCCTAAACCTTGAAGATGTGCATATTTCATCTGTTCATCCTAATGTTGGTGTCTGGTGTTCGAGGAATTGCCGATGACAGTTAATCTTGTGGCATCCATGATGAGCAAGTTCCTCTGTGGTACCCAGAAAGAGGCTAAGTGACCTGCTCAAGGCCACACAGGATGTCATTGGCAGGGCAGGAAATGGAAGCCAAGTCTCCCTCACTTGCCATTGAGCCATCCTTTTTGTTAGCCTAATGCTATGAATACAAGCTAATTCTAGCTGACATGCAGATGATTTGCTGGAGTTGCACTTTGTTACTGAGGGATATTTCACAATTTTACTGACCTAAAACTGTTCCTCAAATAACAGGAACGTTAGACTGTAAACCCAAATGCAAGCTACAGAATGCAGTTGCTTGTTGGGCAGGTTTTGTTGTGCTGATTAGGGCATATTATGTTCATTTTGCAGCACTGTTCATTCACTGTGGGTGAGTTGCAGTGAACTCTGAGTATATGTTCTAGGGATTCCAGAAGCAGTGTAATCTGAGAGAGATTGGAAAGTCACTGCTCAGGTAGGGCAGTAATGGGAGGACAAGTTGAATCACTGCAACTAAAATGTTCACTACTCAGCCATTTAAATGTGTTCTGAGTGAAGCGATTTGGGTTCATTCAGTCTCTAGTCTTGGTTTGAGCCTAATTTGCTCCAAAAAGGTGTTTTAGCTTGCACTTATGCTATCTGTAGTGTCCCTCAGACAAGTGCTCCTGTTACTTGAGAAGAAACAGTGCTTGACATGATAAATTTCTACAGGGCAGACATGGACCAGTTCATTGATGCATAGGGCGTATTCTGAAAATGGGATTCTGTTCTTATCTCCTCTTTCAGTCATATTCTCCAACCAGAAAAGTGGATAAGTTTATGAAGAGTGGACAACTACAAATGCACTCTAATGGGATATTATTAACCTTTTTACTGTACCAGTTTTAGAATTTGAAGTGTCTAAGTTTTACGTTTCTCTAACAAACTCTAAAAAAAACTTTTATGTTTCTCTAACAAAATCATACTCCTTTTATCTAAATGTAGTAACATGCTACAGCACATCCAACTAAGTTTTCCACTGAAAACTAATGCTACTACTTTAAGGCAATATCTCCATTATATTCTGCCACAAGGTCAGATTATGCCAGTGGCAACAAAAGTTTGCAATTAAGACTGGTTACATTTGCCTGAATAAAAGATAATAGTACGAGCAAGATTGTTGGCATAGACAGATACAGCACTTGCAAATAATACCCCAAAGCTGTTTGGAAAGTGATGTTTCAGGTGTATATTAATTAAAAATGTAATAGTCCTATGGAGCATAAGAGTGAACTGATCATGTTTTTAAATGCTGTGTACTACTCACTCTTACAGTCTCCCCCGTTGTTTTTTCTCCTTCCCTCTTTCCCCCCCCCCCCCCCCCCCTCCTTTCCTGTAGGCACTTAGTCCAGTGCAAATCTGGTGGTCTGGAGCAAAGGTAAAGAATGATGTAATGCAGTGGCAGCCCAAAAGCATCTTTTGTCTGAATTGTGAAATGGCTACTCCATAGTCATCTCCTGATGAATCAGAAGCGAGAGGCTGCTTTGTGAAATGAGTCCTTTGTAACGGCACATCAACTGCAAGCAGAAGGAGACATTCATTTGGAGGGCTCTTTCTGAAAATGGGTTTAACTTTTCTTTTGCCAGTCACTACCAGCATGACCTCATACACTTCCAGTACAATGGGGTAGCTAAGCCTTTGAGTACACAGCCATTACATCATCGCTGCAAATTAGAGGGAGGTGGTAAGAGGCCTTATTGTTGTCATGGCCGATGAGATGATCAGGACTCAACTTATTCTTGCCGAGAGGTTGGTGGCTTTGCTAGAAAGTGGCACAGAACAATTGCTTCTGATTGATAGCCGCCCCTTTGTGGAATACAACACATCCCACATCTTGGATGCCATCAATATCAACTGCTCCAAGCTTATGAAGCGGAGGCTGCAGCAGGACAAAGTGCTGATTACAGAGCTAATTCAACACTCGGCAAAACACAAGGTAAGGGTTCTTGCTTTTGCTTTACTTAAGGCTGGGGGGAAATAAGAGGTTTCAGTCAGTTTTTTAAACCACTGTGTGACACAGAGAGTCATGATGAATATATTCAGTTTTCGAGGACTTTGTTTACTTCCAAGTGGCCACAGTAAATATTAGAGGGGAACTTCTTCAAATAATTGATTTAATATTTTCCCATTTATCTATTAATGATGCATAGTATGTTTTAACAATTTAAGATTATTTCAGTAAAAAAGTAATGTATTTTCTTTTCCTTAAAGGCTGTAGTCAGTTTTGCATTGGATGATCTTTTATGCCTATCTAATTCAGATGCAAAGATGTTCAAAGTTTAACCTGCAAAATTGCAGCAAATACTAATGTAAGAGAGATGAACACAGACATCCAGTTGCTTAACAAGAGTAGTGTTAGCAAAAGATAGAGGACAACTGCGTTCTGTACTGTCAAGCCTTTTTAGTAAGGTCTCCCAGAGTAGGAGGGATTGCTTAGTCAAGGGATATTCTTTTTGTAAAGGTTTCATGGTCCAATATGGAAGAAAATTGCTTATCTACAAAAAAAAATCCCCACACCTTCTGGTTAGTGTGCTTTAGATTAAAAAAAAAAAATCATTGTTAATAATGAAAATTTTAGAGTTATGATACTTGGGGAATATAAGTCTAATTTAAAATGGATCTATATATGGATATTGTTTATAAGGTATGTCAGTGCTTGTTTCCACTATTTTGGGTGGCAGTGAAAATCTGGACATAAGAATTCTTTTGTTGTTGTCTGTTGGTTTGAAGTTTTGTATGGGGTTTAGTTTGGGAAAACAGTTTTTTCGAAAAATGTTCAATATGAAGAGGGCTTTTTTTATAGATGGTTAATTTTTTTTTTTTTTTTTATATGGCCTTTGGAAGTTTGCAGTCTCTTCTACTGCTTGGGACACAAGGATGGGGAGAGGAAACTAAAATTTGGTTTTTGCATTCAAAAGTAAAACCTGAATTTCAGGCACTATAAACTTTCTTTTTTTCCTTAAGTGACCTAAAAATTTGAGTTGGTGATATCATACAGCAGGCTCCAACCCTGGGCAGATATTTGATTTACATATGCATGAAAGGATGGTTTGGTCAGGCATTTTAAGAAGTGTAAAAAATACCAGGTGGCTTCTGTATAAACTGTATGTAGAATCCAGAGATTTGGGCTACTGTAAAGTAAGCAAAGAACCTCTAAATGTGATTTATTTATTTATTCATATTGGGCCCCCCAGGGCTGAATTATGACATGCTTGGGCCCTAAGCTATGTCAAGTTTAAAAGGTCCCATAGCATTGCCAAATCCAGCACTTCCCCTGCCACTTCAGGACCTGCTGCCGCTCACCCTCCCCCACTCTGCCAGCCCGGAAGTGGCGGGGGGCCCCCCCCCGGCCAGCCCGGAAGTGGCGGGGGAACCTTGCACATGCCTGCCACCGCCTCCATTAAGCACCCCATGCCGCTGCTCTGCGTGTGGCTGGTTCTCCGGGACTGGCTGCCACTGCCTACCCACCCCTCCCCAGCTCCGTAACTGGCTGTAGTGCCAGTTTAAAAAAACTTGGCATTTTCAAATTTCCGGCACATATTCGGTCCCGAGCATGCTGGATTTATGAGGTTTTATTGTATTTAGAGGCCCCTCATAATGTGAGGCCTTAAGCTGTAGCTTACTTAGCTTGTATCTAAATCTGGTACTGGTGGTCCCTTTCCCTCCCACCCCCATCTTTTCTGTCATCTGATATCCACTTATTTGTGTTTCAGATTGAAATTGATGGCAAACAAGAGGTGGTGGTGTATGACCAAAGTTCAAAGGATGTTGCCTCGCTTTCATCTGACTGCTTTCTTACTGTGTTGCTGGGGAAACTGGAGAAGACTTTCAGTTCTGTACACCTGCTTTCAGGTATGATGCAAAAATATCATGTGAGAATGGGGAAGAAAAGAGGGTGCACGCTCACTTCTGCAGCAACTTCAGTGTAACACTTGAGTTCTGTATTCACTTTTTTTTACTATTGAGTGCTCTGTGTGTACATGTGTACAACGTACTTGAGCATCACTGAAAAGCTAAAGGGCCTGACCTGAGGCTCTTCCCACCAGTATGGCTGCATAAATGAAAACTCAGCCCTAGATCATCCCTCCTTTTTTCCCTCTACCCCTTGCCCCCTTCCCCTTAAGCACCTCCAACAGCCTAACATCCTTGAACCTGAAGCAGCATAAAGAATGCAGTTACCTGCTTTTTCAAGCTTTGTAATGAGGTGGGTCCTGTATATTCCATTCTAGTTACCTTGTTATCTTCATCTCTTCAACTGAAAGAGAAGAGTTTGTAGGTGAAGGGTCCTCCAATGTGGGACAGGTTTGGAAGATCATGGGCAGGAAGAAAGCATCACAGAAATCTCCCCTCTTCAAAACGCAGGAAGAGAACAAAGAAAGCCAAAATGGTGCTTTTATCAACTGACACAAGTATTGGAGGGGATAGATATACAGAAGAGATAGAGGGTTAAAATGATGTAGGAGAAGCAATGGAATGAAGTACATGGTGGGGGAGGAAAGGGAAAGGTGTTCTAAATAAATTGCATGCAAGGTTTTTCAGTTACTTCATCTAGTGGCAGTAGGGAATCTAATTTGGTTGCCAAAAAAAACCAGATAATTTTTTCCCCCATGTCCATTTGAAAGTTGGAGTGTGGGGATCAGCTGGAGTATGGGAATTGGAGATGGATTCTCCTGTTGCTCTGGATGCAGTGAACAGTTTCTTCTGTTCTTGAGGCAAAATGAAAGTGTGTAAAGGCAAAATCCTGCTCTCAAACAAGTGCTTTTACCTTTTGGTGGAAGCTGTACCAATATATGCAGAAGAGAATTTTTAAGCATGGTATGTGCAGAGGCAACCTGAGCAGGGTGTGGAGCCCAGGGCAAATCAGCCCATGAGGGGCCCCAGCCCCGGCCCTGGAGAAGCTGCCGCCAATAGGTAGGGGTAGCGAGCAGCTGGACGTGGAGCCACCACTCCACCTGGCTCCACACTGCCGCTGCTCCGCCTGGCTCCGCGGGGCCCCCCAAAGTGTGGGGCCCAGGGCAGTCGCCCCGATTTGCCCCCCCCTCCTCCCCCCAGTATGTGGACGCTGCTAACAATTCTTACACTCCTCCAAATATGCCCCCTCCCTCCTCCTGCCTTGGCTATTTTATTAAGAATAATGCTTCTGGGCTGTAGGACCATAAACTAAAGTTTAGTAGTTCGTGTATATGGAACACAAGAAGCAGGGACAGACAGACGACGGTCTGAGTTCCCTGGAGAGTGTCGAAATATAGGGCCAATAATTTATTAAAATCAAAACTATTTTTTTTTAGTTTTCAAAATGGACCTATACAGAAATATGTCACATGGCCTCATGAAATACCCTTTTAGTGATCAAATGTTGCAAATGTCTAACTTTTTCAACTGGCTGCCTGAGGGCTTTCAGTAACAGCCTAGGGACTGGGCTGAGGCCCTGGAGAGGCAGGTGAGGGAACTCCAGGCAGAGGTTACCACTCTGTCCAAATTCACAGGTGATACCAAATCACGGAGTAAAGTTAACACACTAGAGGCTAGGGAATGAATCCAGGTGGATCTGGACAGGTTGGAAAAATGGGCAGAACAGAATAGGATGCAGTTCAACAAGGATAACTGCAAGGTGCTGTACTTAGGGAGAGAGAATAATCAACAGCACGCTTACAGGTTGGGGGCAGACCTTCTCAGCAGCACAACAGCAGAAAGGGATCTCGGAGTCACTGTTGACACCAAAATGAACATGAGTCGTCAATGTGACTAAGCAATCAGTAAAGGTAACTGCACTTTATTATGTATTAGCAGGTGCGTGACAAACGGGTCCCGGGAAGTGATACTTCCCCTCTGTGACATTGGTCAGGTCGCAGTTGGAGTACTGCATCTAGTTTTGGGTTCCACACTTCAAGAGAGATGTGGACAACCTTGAGAGGGTTCAGAGGAGGGCCACTCGTATGGTTAGGGGCTTGCAGGCAAACCCCTACGAGGAGAGATTGAGGGCCCTGGATCTCTTCAGCCTCTGCAAGAGAAGACTGAGAGGTGACCTTGTTGCCGCCTACAAATTCATTGGGGGCAAGGGGGGAGCAGCAAGGAATAGGAGATGCTCTGTTTGCCAGGGCACCCCTCGGAATAACTAGGAACAATGGCCACAAACTGGTGGAGTACAGATTTAGGTTAGATATCAGGAAGAACTCCTTCACAGTAAGGGTTGCCAGAATCTGGAATGGGCTTCTGTGGGAGGTGGTGCCCTCTCCTACCTTTGGGGGTCTTTTAAGAGGAGGCTAGACATGCACCTGGCTGGGGTGATCTGACCCCAGCGCTCTCTTGCCCAGGACAGGGAGTCAGACTTGATGATCTGCTAAGGTCCCTTCCAACCCAAACATCTATTATTATTGCTTCATGCCACAAAACTAAGTATTCACATGTTATAGTCCCAGAGGGAAGCTTTACCAGATTCTTCCTCCTGGGAGAGCCATGCATCACCATAATAACCAAGCGACAGATCACTTGTGAGAAGCCTAAAAGAGGCAGCCAGAGGAGCTAAGAGAACTTTATGAAGCTTCTCCTCCAGAATCCTCAAAGTGAGAGGGTGTCTTGGACAGGGGGGAAATTAGGTGTTCAAATTCTATGGAAACTGCCCTCTGTCTATCTGCTGTGGGTTTCCAGCTGTTATCTTAACTCCAGTATCATCTGCAGTGAGGACATAGTAAAAGTTAGTGCTGTTTCCAAAGCAACATTAACTCCAACGTGTAATATGTGTGAAAAATGGGTGCCAGAAGGAGTCAGATTCCTGATTCTGTCCCCATCCCAAATCCCATGGAGAAGACTCTTTAGAGAAGCAGCCCTCCTACTTCTGACTCTTCTGCAATAATAACAGCGTGTCAGAGCAGGCTCGATTTTTAATCAATTCTGCTGGAGCACGTTAATTGGCATGTTCCAGCAGCCTCGGCGTCTCATGTATTCAGCATCCCCGCACTTCAAAATGGAGGTGGGGGTGCTTTAAATAAAGCTCGTCAGACAAGCTTTAGTTAAAAGTACCCCCGCAGCCATTTTGAAGCACAGGACACTGAATACACAAGACGCTACAGGCGCTTTAATTAGTGGCTCTCAGGAAGCGCTCTAATTAAAGCACCCCTCCTCACCACCAGAGCGTGTATAAAAGCACCTTACGTGAGCAGGACAAAAATCACTTTTTGGCCATGTTTGTGCTAGGAAGAAGGGTTTGGGTCTAGCATGTGTTAATTATTTCTTCAAACTAAAATATGCTGCTAAGTACTAACACATGCTAGCTGACCAGGATAAACCTAGGCTTTCTCCCATCAGCATAGAGGGAGGGAACATAGCTAAGGCTATAAAGTTGTCCTATCTAGGTAGGTAGGGATAACCTTTGTGGTGGCAAAAACAAATGCCATCTATAGAAATATGGTAGATTTAAGAAATGGGAAATTTACGACGCGCACTAGTTATCCTAATCTGCTATTTCAGGAAAGATTGCACAGGTAAGATGAGCTGTTTATTCATCTAAATATACACTAATTTTTTTTATTCATGCTGTGCTGCAGTGTTTCCACTCCCATATTCAATTTTCTGTTTTTTAATTCTGACATTAGAAATATGTTGCACAATCTATGTAGATTTACTTCTTAGTTCCTTAAAAAAGGTATGTGTGTTATGCAAGTGACAGACAAAGCTATAGATATCGTGTGGGGAAAACATAATCTTGGAAATATTGTTTTTCCTGCTCTGGAATATGGAGTAGTTTAAGTATGAGCCTCTAGGGATGAAAATGTGCCTCTTTTTTGCCTTGAAACTTAGTGCAACATTTTACTTTACTTTTAGAAGTAAAAAATCCTTTCTGTAGCTTTGCTGATGCCCTGCACTATCAAAGCTTGGATAAAATTTGTTATCTTAGCAAGCTGATAACCTCCTTGTAAAATGTTTATGGGCAGTAATGGGCTCAGGGGTCAATGCACCATGCAGAAAGAAAAAAAACTTTGGACTTCGATTTTTCTCTAAGTCACTGTAGATGGTTTAAATAACAGTGACCTTAAATAAATATGTTTCGGGAAAGAAAAGCTTCACCCGCCCCACCCCCGCTGAGATATTATAATGAGAAATTAACAGAATTCTGGAAGTCCTGGGTCTGATCCTACCCTTGCTGCATTGCTTCTTTCCTCTGTTTTAGACTGTTAAGCAAGGATGGGCAATTATTTTGGCTAGACGGCCATTTAACTAGTTTTTTGTGAGCTGTCAAGCGCCACACACACAATCTTTCAGAAGATATCATTTTAACAAATTAAAGCTAAAAAACAAATCGTATACTAAAAATCAAAACCCTATTTCATATTCTAACTTCATTTAAAAAAATTTTTTTTTCTCCTGATTTTTGTTTTTTGAGTAGCATATATAGAGGCGATTGTATAATAGTACAAAATAAAGTCTTACTTTTTTGTGGGGGGGGAGCTGTGTGGAGGGCATATGGCGGGGTATGTGAATGTGTGTGGGAGGAGGGTGTGTGGGGGTGTGGGGGGAAGCAGAGTGGGTGGAAGGTATCCAGAAGCTGGAGCTGGGGGTGTGTGTGCTGGGAGCCTCCCAGCTGCAGCTCCTTTTTCCCCCCTCCCCCACCTTGCCTGGCTGGGCATTCGCTGCCTGGCACACATTCTGCCCCCCCTCCCCCCGGCTTCCCCACATTACCTGCTGCTCAGAGTAGCACAGCAGGGGGAGGAGGAGGAGCCACTGGAGGCAGGGGGAAGCAAGCAGTCCCTGGGCGGCTATGGCAGTAGCCCTACCAGGAAGCTGTGCATGCTGGCCGAATTGGTGCTATCTGGGCACCTGCTATCTGGGCACAGGGTGGGTGCGAGCAGGTGCAG